TTCCCCTGTATTCACCGAGTATGGTCTTACTGTACTATCAAATTGTATATGCCGTCATCGACTTGTTGGACCCGCATTGTAGGGACACAGGGGGAAATAATAAACAAATTATTTCATAATTTGTTTCATACTTTGTTAATTTTTACAAGAATTTCAAAACTTTTAAATATGTTTATATAAGATGGAAATGTTATATAAATTGACATAAATTTATAGTACCGATGGTTTAAATCATGTTTGCACTCATATTATTTGAGGTTAAGACATAGTTAAACTGAGTCATGCAACAATGTGTTTTTCATCCCCTTAAATTTATATTGTCAGAGAAAAATGCAGAAAATACATTGGGTGACTTTAATTTTATGTTGTAATTTTTTTTTTAATAAAGTTGACAATAACTTTAATTGTTAAATGTTAGTTGTGTAAATTTTTATGAATGTTTTTTTTTATCCTGTTGAACATCAATGGTTATAATTCAACGTAATTAATGAAAGTTCATTGTTTGAAATGAAAGTGGTCCAGAAAAAAATGACATTGAAAGAAAATAAACTGTTGCTAAGAATAATTAGGTTAAAATATAGCAGTATCACAACTAACCTCGATTGAAAAAAAATCCAAAACTAATACTATTTGAACCCCTGTATTTATCTATTAGTTTCTATAATATCTTGACAGTAAATACTTCGGTATTTAGTTAAAAAATGTCATTCATGTAATTAATGGATTCATTTTCCCTAAATCACATTTATTTTACAGGGTTATCCTAAAGTTGATGTTTATTGACTTACAGTAGGTACAGCATAAATATTATTAAAATACTGTTTTAAAATTTGCAGAGAACCAGGCTCTATTTTGGATTAGGGGAGCTGTTTTACAAATGTATATAATGTTTCGTGCTGCTTATGAAGCACTAGTTTAATAAACGTCTTTTGCTCCAATGAGAAAGGTGGAGATAATAAAAAGAGATTGATCATAAAAACAAATCTACAAACAATACATATCCGTGAATAGAGCATTATACACCAACCCCTGGAAATTCCAGAGGAAGGATCAGGTGCCTAGAAGAAGTAAGCATCCTCTATTGACAGGTCACAACTATCGTGAGTGTTTTGTACAAATAAGGTAGATAGAACATTCCGTATCAAATTTAGCATAAAAACTAATGCCTAACAATACGTAAGCCAAAATAAGACCAATTGATAGGTATATTTGATGACAATAATAACGAAATGCGGACTGAAAAGGTTCTAAGTTACCTATTTCAAGTGTGATGTTATCTTGAATATTGGTATATTGAATACCATGGATATGTCGAAGTCACTTGGAAATCCCAACTTGTCTTTGCTTATGTGTTTTAAACCTGCTACTTGGGACCCTAGCATGATATTTCGGATAAAGTCCAAGCTTAGTGTGATATTATTGTATATATCTTGTGGATATTAAACTGTCAAATTATAATTGGGGACCACGTGACCTCCAGCTACCAAATTCAAAGTAGATATTTGTTCACTGGAATTTAATAATCGCTCTCAAAAAGAGTGTGTTAATACTTTTTATTGCACCTGCTAGCGGCCATTGATGTGATGGACCATTTCCGGTTGTTGAGAATCTGTTACCCTGGATTTCGACTACTTTCTGTCACTAAGAATAAGAATCCGTCAATGAACAAAGCAAATGTAAAGACATACATGAACCCCCGACCACATTTGTTCAGATAGAATGATAATGTGGAGATAACGAACAGCATTCAGGATCAAAATTCCACTCAAACAATACAATCATGAAATCACAAAAAAAAAAAAAAAAAAAAAAAAAAAAAAAAAAAAAAAAAAATGATGAAGTCTGAAAAATTCCAGTGGAAACAACTGGAGATTAGCGTCATTTAAATATTTGTGACAAATGGAGCAGTTGGTTTTACTCTTGTTGTCTCTTTTTTTCAAACTTTCATTTTGGTGCAATCGACTGATTTTTTTTTTCATTTTAGTGATGCATTTCTTTGCAAGTATTGCCTTTCTGCTTTTTAAATTTCAATAGTTATAAATTCTTCAAAATCATATGTCATTTTTGAATTTTTCTTTTGTATTCCCAACAATCAAAATGAATTTAAATTACCAATACTGGACTAAACTTCATAAAAGAGCCCTTACAAATAAAGATACATAGCGGTTTTTAGTAAAACTAGAGGTACTGTGAGCACTGAGCTCACAAAATGATACCCCTCGCCTCCCATGTGATTGTAATGGTAAAGTCCATGTTTTGCTCTGGGAGACCCGAAATAAGTGTCAGATCAAAAAATAAAATAGGAGGTCACAATGGCACTATTTAATAAAGAATATGTGAAAGGATCATAATAATTTATTGAGTGGTATAGGAGGAGTTGCGCATAAGAGATGGGTACCATTCAATATTATAGAAAGAATGGTACTGTCCATGTTTTGGCTAGGGGAAACCAGAAATATGTGTCCGATCAAAAAGTAAAATAGGAGATCACAATGACACTATGTAACAAAGATTCTGTGAAATTCTCAATAAATGTCATTCAGTGGTATAAAAGGAGTTGCGGATAAGAGATGGGTACATCAAAGCGTATTTGTTGGACGGACGGACGGACACCCCGATCACTAAATACACCCCTGTTTTCAAGCGGGGGTATAATTAATGTTCTCTTTCTTTATTTCTTACTTTAATTTTTAAAGCAGTGAAGGAAAATGTTCAGGAGCACTGTTCAACAATACATTGGAGAAGTGATGTTCATCAGACTTGGATACTTAAAAATTCCAAAGAACTTTTGGAAAAATTAAAATCTTTAATATAATTTGAATGTTTTCTAAAACAAAATAATTAAAAAAAAAAATTAAAAGAAGACTTTTATGGTAACCAAACAACAAAGCTTTAGGATTAACGTGATGACTTCAACCTCTCAATCGTCAACTTCCCCTACCTATATAACCTTATCACCTGCATATGGGGTTTATATCTCCTAGATGGTTAAATACGCATAAGTATGCTCTACGTACAAACTTTTCTAAAAGGAAATAAGTTATTGACAAACAAGTTGATAAAATAAAAATATCAACAGCCTCGTTTAAGATCATCATTTCGCAAGTTCTATGCTCGATTCAATGACCTTGTCAACAAATACAATCTAACATTAAGTCAAATGCTGACTGACGCTTAATATGAAAATTGTTAGGCTGTTAATTATACACTGAATCGTCTATGGATTTTTGCGTTTCCCCCCGATAATGACAAGGAGTATACGGTGGTTGTGATTTGAAAGCGGGGGATGCTCACAATGGACTAAAAAATCTTATTTTTATCCTTTAACCTTTTTATAATTCAACCTCTGGTTTTGTATAAAATTTAGTAATGCCTGTGCTTTGATACAGATAAATACTTAATTTCCAATTTTCGCCCGTTTGTTTAAATACTTATATTCAATTTTTTTTATCCATAAATACATACTGGGTAATATTTGTTAATTTTCAAAAAAAAAAAAAAAAAAAATCACGTTGTATTTCTTTTCCGTTTGTAGAGAAACCACGATCCGCTGCTGCACTCAAAGGAAATATAATTGTAATATAGAGTAATTTTCTTCTGAAAAAAAAAGAAAAAAAAAAGAATATATATATATATATATATATATATATATATATATATAAGTTTCTTAATTTTTCTTTGGCTAGAGAAATGTTTAAGATTTAGAATTTATATAGGTAAAAGCCATATTTCCAATCATTGAATTCCATCATGAATAATTTGAATTAAATCGTGATTAAGTACCATTAATATTTTTTTTTTCTTTTGAAATAGTGCAGAAGTAAGAATTTATCAGAATATAGTCGGTCTTCAATGATCGTTGTTTCAAAATCAATTTTCAGAAGAACAGTCCATGATCAGATTAAAGATTACATCCGACTAGATTTATACACATTGTGAAGCGGGGTAAAATATACAGTGTACAGTATATCGACTGGTTAGACAATTGACCTTAATTAGTTGTCCCCATCGGTCCCCGGTCAGCTAACAGGAAACTATACATAAGGTACAGTAACAGAATTTGATGATCAATTATTTTTACAAAACTTAAAACTAAACGTACCTATAAAACAAATTGTAAGTTATGATTGTAGGCAAAAAGGCAATTGTTTTGATGCCCATTATGATATAGAAAATTAAAATTGAAGATGATATGTAAAAAAATATGTTATAAAATACGTGTTACGTAAAGACTGTAAATTATTAAGCACACACACACACACACACACACACAAAACGTAAGTATACGCAGCATATGTATAAGAACTAGAATCTTTTTTTTTTTTTTCATTTTTCTCATTCGAGGATTTATTCCTTTTTAATAATAAAACTGTGTTAAATATCAATCTTTACATGCTTATAAAACTGCGAGTGACAGTTTTTAAATCAAAAAGCTGTTTCACACCGAACCCTACGCTTAAGAAATATTAACGAAACATAATTTTTCTTTTTCAAAAAGATATATATAAATAAATGTATAATTATTAATATTATTGATTAATAAATATAAACATAAAAAAAAAAACAAATTTCCGTCAAATTTCCATACAATCCAAAGGTCGTCTGATCGAATCCTGTCGGGAAAGGGTTTTTTTTTTTCTTTTTTAATTTTTTAAATTTTTTAAAAACTTTTCTTTCTTTTACATATTTTTGCCAAATTAACAAATGTGTAAACTCGAAGAAATCATTTAAAAAAATATTTTACCCATAAAACCAGTTTTATCGACTGCGTAATGATGACTTAATGGTGGCTTTGTCACAAAGCACCTATAAGTTGGCTTAATGGTGGCTGAATGGTGACTTAAAGATTGTCTAGAAGCTACCATTAAGCTACCTTTAAGCACCCATATAGGACTTTGAGATGGCTTAATGGTAACTTAATGGTGGTGTATTTATTATTTAAAGATAGCTTAAAGGTGCTTAATGGTTACTTAAAGACGATCAATAAGCCACCATTTAGGACCTATAAGCCACCATTAAGCCAAGCTTAAAAGAAGTGTTTCATCTTGTGTATTTTCTACAATTCACAGACATAATTATATTGAGCTTCGGGCACATTGTCATAGCATTTGAAGCCATCCTTTGTAAGGGATCTCAGGCGCGTTTCTATCGAACCGTTTGATGCCACAAGTGGACAGTAGTGAATGAATGGTGTTCCGTCATGAAACCTCCATATTCCGCTCACTTTCATCCCTTGTATCCAAACCTCCGCATTGCTGATGTTAGCAGTCAACACTGAAATATAAAAGAAAACAGAAAGTACAAGTAGTTGTACTTTGGCGCAACATCGGTCGTAAATATACATATATGTTGTACCATTCGAGTGTTTGAAATGAGGATCATCACTATATTTATTTGATCAAGACACAAGTATGCCAAGTTTTTCGGGATTAAAAGAACGCTGAAAAGACTCCTTTTTGCATCCAATTGTTTTCTTCACAGGCCCAAAGAAATGTTGATTGTATGTTCATATGATTTTCTGTACATTCTGTCATACTGCAGTTTTATGTTAATACTTTTACTACCGAGTGGGGTTGAATTTCAGTACATGTATGAGGATCCTCAAGTCCATACCTACTATTACATGTCTAAAAATCATTTTGGGGGTTAAATCTATATTTAGTTTTTTTTAACCTTGCACAGTCATATCAAGCATAAATAAACCCTGTTATTGAGGGGATAACCCCACAATACAGAAATAACCCCAGAATACTGGAAAATACGCACAATTAACCTCATAGCGTATCTCTGGTAAGACCATATGCACCCCACAATGGACTAAACTGCCAAAGGTAACCCCGTTCTGTTAACTTTTGCACAATGTATCTCTCGTGTGTATGTTTGGGGATGATCAGGAGAAAATAGAGAAACAGTCAACCTCTAAGGTGAAAATTAGTATAAGCTGTACTATACGATGCTAAAGGCAAAGAAAAAGAACAGTGATCGATTTCAAAGAAAATCTACATATAACACTACTCCGTGAACAGGGCATAACACGCTGACCCCTAGAAATTCCAAAGATGGGATCAGGTGCCTAGGAGGAGTAAGCATCCTATGTTGACCAGTCTCATCCTACTTGAGCCTAAGCACCAGGATTTTAAATTTAAATGCGCAAAAGTGTTCTAAATGAGCCCAAATTACAAAGAGAAGAAAAATAGCTGAAGAAAATAATCACCCAGAAATTCCTTGAAGATACTGAACTTTTCTGCAGAATCTATCTTGATGATATCCCCGCCTTCCAGATGACATGCATTGGCTGCATCCGCATACTGGGCAGGTGTCTTCTCATACCGCAGGCATCTAGTGATATCTAATGGTATGTACACAGAATACCCCCTTGGACAGGAACCTGTAATACAGGATAAAGAACTTGTTAATAGCGATTCTCTGTAACCACTTAAACTTCTTTGCCACGCATGGTCACCGATTTTGATGAAACTTTGCCCATTATTACAACTTAACACCAGAAACATATATCAAATAAAATTTCGTTGCTATGTGTCTTGGTTGCCATGGTAACAGGCAGAAAAGTTGAAAAAATTGAGATTTTCAGCTACTTTGAAACTTTATTAAGCCTTAATAAAGACTAAGAAAAACAAACAAACTATTCTTATAAAAACATGACACCTTGTTGCAACTTATGCTGTAAAGAAACTTTTTAGAATTTATCTCTAAGTAGGTGGTAACCATGGGTACATTTGGAATACATTTAAGATGCTGAAAAATGCTGAAAAACACTCAATATTCACTAATGATAGATGTAACATGATCAAACTCAATCAACAATTGAAGAAAAACGATTAAAATATTTGACCTTAAGTAATAAGGTATTGGCAATATTATTCTAAAAATAACTTTCATGGTTGCCATGGTAACACAGTGTAACGATGCAAAATTCGTTGCTAAGATTGAGTTAATGCTACTATCTTGAGGAAAAACAATAAAATTCATGACTGGCACATATACATCCTTAGGACCTTGCAACACCGACAACATAAGAAAAATTGGGATTAATTGTTACTTTGCAGTGTAACCATGGAAACAACGTACCAGTTGTTTAAAGTGATATTTTCTTACTGCTTTAGGAATTAACTTACCTTTAAATCAAGGAACATATGATTTGACTCACCTTGAATAATACTTATCTGGTAGAACTAAAGTTGAATATCATATATTGATAAAGTTTGTTGAGAAATACAACACTGTTGCTATGGTTACCAAGAAGGGAAAATGTTCGATTTCGTTAATTTTATTTCAAAATTAAATCCTATGTGCCAGCTTTTTGCATCCAGTTTGAGGTTGGTTGGTAGTCAAAATTGAAAGTCAGGTTAGTTGTTCATATATATCAATCATAAAAGTTTTGGGAATCTACATACAAGGGTACGTATCCAAGGAAGCAGAATATTTTTCAGATTTTTATGCATATTTTTTCGGCTAATTTCCATAGCAACGCTCTATTTAAAGAACCAAATTTGAATTTTTTGAAATGTGAAAATTAGGGTCACACCAACGGCTTTAAAAATTGATCATCAGTTATATAGAAATATGCTTTGTAAAAAGATAGGATAAGATTAAAATACTAAGAGAGTAAATTTAAAATCCCTTTGTGGTATTAAAACCATGGCAACCATTGCCAACTTATAAGAAATATCATATTTCGTCCTTGGTATACGTTACAAGGATCTCCTGTCTATTATTTGCTTGCATTTCAACCTATAATTGTTTTTATTCTTAAGTGTATGACTTTATAAAATTAAATGAACAAAATTATTACTTTTGAATACTTTGTTTCCATAGTAACGTATGTAATAGTTGATTTACCAAACATGTTCATCATGCATTTAAGACATCAGGCCTTCAACTTTCAGAAACAGTCATTGCCACTTGTTTGCTTTGCTGCAAACGTTAACTGTGGGACTTTGAACATGTTGAAAAATGCCATTTTTCAAAATTTAGGACATGTTGCTATGGTAACCATGACTCGTAGCAACCAATTTTTGCCTGATTTGAGTTTCCTGCATCAAAGACTTTTATCATAGAGAGTTTGGAGAAATTCTGAGACTATGCGTGCCACAGCTCCGATATAAAAGTTCAAGTCATTACAGAGAATGGCTCTTAATAAATATCTTTTTGGTATCAGAAACATAAATGAAAAGGGTGAAAATAAAGAACAGTAATGAATCTAAAAAAAATCTATAAGTAATGCTAATCTGTGAAGAGAATATAAACACGGACACCCGGAAATTTTGGAGATAAGATCGGATGCCTAGGAAGAATAAGCACCCTCTGTTGATCGGTCACAGCCATCGTGAGCCCTATGTACTGATCAGGTAGACATTCCATATTCAACTTCTGTTTAAAAACAAAGGCCTAATAATCGGTACTAAACAAGTCAGCCTAAACAATGATAGGTTATATAACTGTGATTATGTGTATTTTTTCCTAGACATTTACCAGATTATATCAGAATAAGCAGCAAAAACCTTATTTATTGGATTATTTCAGCGATACCAGGATAATGCATTAAAAACAAATTAAAAATGTATAAAGGTTTTGGCACATGGGGCTATTAACTAAGCGAAAGCTTTCTTTTCCTTTTTTTTTACTTAAATAACACCAAGTGTCGATTTCCAGTTTACAGGATTCTGAATATCCTCTTTGACATGAACCTTAAAGTTAAAAAAAAAACAAAAAAAAACAAAAAAAACAAATGAAAAGTTTGCACAAGAAAAGCTAATTTATGGTGGCATATTTTTGCCCCCTAAATGCAAGATAAATTGTGTCAACATTACATGCAAGATAAGTATGTCAAAATGCATGATGATTATGTATCGACTATAGAATGTAAAAGGTAAAAATAAAGAACAGTGATCAATCTACAAATATCAATACACAATACAAATTTATGAAGAGGGCATTAAACACGGAACCCTTGAAATTTCAGAGGCCTTGGAGGAGTACGCATCCCCTAATGACCGGTCACACTCGCCGTGAACCCTAAGTTTGATCAGGTACACGGAACTTTTCTTAGTCCATTCAGTATAAGAAATCCTAACAATCAGTTTAAAACAAGTCAGTCAAAAAAGGAAACGACCGAATGATAGGTTATATTTGCTAACGAAGTCATTATAACGACCATAAAATTTACAAAATGCAGACTTTAAACAAGGTTATTGAAATCCCTGTAACATCACCTTATCAGTAAATAACAATCCTCACTTAAAAATTGGTCGTACTCAGTGCAAGCTCTTGAGTAGCGAATAAGTTGGGAGACATAAACACCATACGTATGTGATAGTTGGATATCACTACATAAATGATGAAATTTGACGATAGAAAAGCTGAAATCATATCGTTTGTCATAGAATTAAGTTGTTTATTGATTAAACATGGTCAGATATCTTAATGTAATGTCGAATGAAAGGCACATCAAGTGTTTTCCTATTCTCTTTTGGAAGTTTCTGAATAAATTCTGCCTCATAGGAATATAAAATCTTCCGAAATGATGACTCATCAACTTGTTTGTCAAGAACTTGTCTCGTTTTAAAAATTGATCGTACATAGAACGTATGGTAAAAATATAACCTAAAGGATGGGATTTGCATTGGCCACACAAGAAAGTAGCCATAGGTTTCATGTGACCGTAATGATGGTAGAAATTGATGTTCACTTGGTAGAGAAGTTCTTAAGATGTTAGACTTGGAAGAAAAAACTATATTTTTGGAGAAGTTACGATTTTGGAGTTGAATGTCTGGATCAAATGACGGACAGACGTTTGACACACTAGTACTCTGTTCAGGAAGAAGCACTTATTTGATCCTTATCTTAATTTTACTTATTGTACTAAACTAAACGATGATCTAGTTTTATGACTTACCAAGTAAAAGGGAATTCCATTTGATCCCAGCCAGCACTGTTCCTTTCGATTCCTGGTGGCAGCAGAAGCAAATTCCTGTCTCACGATCCCGATTTATTTTGAAGAGAAACCGACAAGAATAAAGACAGACCGAAAAACATCTTACATTGCTGGAATAGAAACCAATGTGTATACAAGATCTGGTGGGAGGGTCATTACTTCTTACTACAGCCTTGTATTGAGAAACTGATGATCCCAGGATCCCACAGTTTATAAGCAACACAGCTAAAGAATTCCTTATAAACGTCATTATCCCAGAATGAAACATGGTTTGAGAATGTTAATAAAATCCTAACATATCAAGTGCTTGCTTCAGTAATTCATTTTTCGCTCTAGATCGCATGTTTTGTTTATTTTTCAAGAGCAATTAATTGATTTTTAAAAATTTTAAATGAAAAAAAATATTCAATTTCGTCAATTGTCTTTCTCATTCAAACATATTTTTCTCTCTGTTAACGGAATAAAAAAAATGCTGTCATCTAATGTTTTGTCGTACATCCAAGATTGATTCTTCAAACTTTGAGATTATTTTTAATAGCATTTTGAAATGGTTTGATATTGACATCATCATTTATCTGGCAGATATTAAACCCATTACTGCTCAATACATTACCTCGGTAAAAAGAAATAAGGAGCATATAAATTTAATCCTCAGCGAAGGCTCTAGAGAGAATAATCTGATATATAGACCGATTTCATTGTATTTCAAAGACGAATGCAAGGAATATTTACAATAAAACTTGTACTAAATAACATTTGCTCATAACTTTAGATCTCGAACAATGCTACGTGATGTTAAATCAACATTAAGCTCTGCTTCATAGAATTTCTGCTCGATGTTCCCTATAAGAATAAAGATGCAATGAGCTATATTTCGGGTATGAGACTTTAAGACTACTAATGTGTCATATATTAGTTGCATTTTCTGCTTTTTCAAGGTGATTAATGCCAATAAAAACACATAGGATATTACTTTACATATACATATATATTATAAAAATAATGTATATCGCACTTTTTTCAATTTGAACTACATGTAACTTATAGTAGAAAAAATCACCCAGACTGTGCATGGAACATTTCAACCTGTTTTGAAAAAAAAAAATGATGCAATACGATTTATTGATTAGTCAATAAATCCATTTGTTTTAGTATGAGTATAATGAAATATGGAGATGACGGACAGTATTCAAGCTCAAAGTTCGTTTAGACAATACAAATCGGGAGCAAAGCAAACACAGACCCCCAAAACATCAGAGGTGGGATCAGGTGCCATGGAGGAGTGAGTATCCCCTTCTGACCGATCTCACCCGCCGTGTGCTCCTTCTCATGATCTGGAAAACGGGAAAAAATCCGTAGGCAATTCATTGTGTAAATAAAGGCCTAACAATTAAATTCTACTAGATGAAATCCCGCGCAAGCGCGGGGAATAG